GCTGCCTCCCCATGTCTCGGCATCATTCTGCACTTGCGACCCTGGAGCTTAGGCCATGGGCAAGCTGATCAACAAGAAGGCCATCATGGTGGGCAACTGTGATGGCTTCGTCGGCAACCGGATGATTGCGCCGTATGCTGGGGAGGCGAAGATGGTCCTGGAGGAAGGCAGGACATCTGCTCACAGAAGACGCGGTCCTCCTGTTTTCTTGTAGCTGCTGCTGGATTGGCTGCCCAAGGTGCGAGCATCGAGCAGGTCGATGCCGCAGCGCAGAAGTTCGGCAGCCCGGCAGCAGAAAAAAGAGTGGGTGCAGAGCAAAGCGCCTACACCCCGTGTCCCTGAGCCTGCTGGAAGGCATGGCCATGGGTCCGATGGCGTTGGGCGACTTGGTGGGCCAGGAGCTTTTCTGGAAGCAGCGGAAGGCCGGGCCGTGGCGCAAGGCTCTTCGGTAAGCCTTGTCACGTTTTGGTCATGTCAGGCGGCCGGTGATATGAAGAAGCAGACCAAGACCTACTATGGTCCGTACGAGCTGACGGACCATCTGCAAGTTCAGTTTGTTGTGACATGTGGAGCAGAGCATGATACCCGAGCGCCTGCAAGGCCTCCATCAGCAAGCTGCCTAGTCAGATAAGATCGCAAAGGGACCGAGAGCTAGGAAAACCTGAACAACGACACCACATGCACTCTATCGTCAGCTACGACTTCGGCTGTTTTTTTCGCTCTCTCTCCTTGTGCCAGAGAGAGAGCGAGGGAGGGAGAGAGAGAGAGGATGCGATAGGTCCTTTTTGCGCGGGCATTCCATCGTTTGGGTGTGAGAGATTTCACCATTCCCACCCGCAACAGGCGGGGGCGCATGCGCGCGGTGGGGAGGCAACTCCCCACCACAGCTCTGGGGAAAGAAAAAGAAAGAGAGAGACAAGTGCGCGCGCGCACGGGGGGGCAGCCTGGACGCTGCTGCTCCGTCACGCCCCGCATAGAGAGAGAGAGAGAGAGAAGCCCTTGTGCGACTCTGCAGGGTGAAGAATAAGAGGAATTGTCCTGTCTAGGTTCCCAGCTGTCCAGCTTTGTGCACTTTGTTGTTCCAGTCTGCCAGAGTAGTTGATTCCCCATGCCCAACAATGCACCCCACACTCACTGGTGCAGTGACGTGTAAAATCAGTGAGCTGACTTGTAAGGGGTCGTGCGTTGGTTGGCAGGGGGAAAAACCCTCTCACCACAGATGCCAAAACATTTCATTCACATTCAGGCACCTAATATCCAAAACAGGGGGGAAGTCCATCGCCTTCACTTGACATATTTAGCGTAATTTGACCTTAGATCATTCCTGTAGGCAAAATGGACATCCTCATGCACGTTTCCCAGGAGATTGTACGATTGTCACGTTTATCATTATACCATCTACGGCTTTAGCGATTGACGATCTACACTCGCTATTCACTCCCCCTAACCTGATAAAACATCGGGTGGGCTTAGAGCCCGGGGGCACTGACCTGCCCTTATGCCGGGAGAAAGAGAGAGAGGTTTATGGGGTGCGAGGGAGTGGGGGGGACGTCCCTGCTTCCTCTGGCCTGCTAGAGAGAGAGAGAGAGAGAGAGATAGATATATATATATATATATATATGGGGTCATCCAGATCTTTACCGACTTGCAGTGCCCCTGAAGAACCCCAAGATGGGGTGCGGCATTCGGTGCGGGGAGCCTGGACAGCTCCCTACGCCCCGAAGAAAAAGAAGATATGGGGTCATTCCCCTACACCATAGCCCTGGCGAAAGAAAGAGCATCCTTTCTTTTACCGAGTGTCGGAGTTGTTTCCCCCACAAGGCCCCGAAACAGGGGTGCACCCTGCGGTGCGCAGAGCCTGACCCGCTCCCTAAGAAGAGCCCGGCAGAAAGAAAGAAAGAAAGAAAGAAAGAAAGAAAGAAAGAAAGACAGAGAGATTAAGCCTAAGCCCCTGATGTCATGTGAACTTGACTTGCCGCTTGAGCCTTGGCCCTAGAGCATGCTGAAGGATTTGCTTGCTCTGTTCATTGGCACCCGCAACAGTCGGGGGCGCACTCGCGCACGGTGTAGGGGGAAATCCCCTGCACCACAGCCCTGGCGAAAGAAAGAGACTAAGCCCTTAGAAGGAAAGGCCATACTACAACGCCACGGAACCCAAGGTGATCTACCTGGCTTTTTGGGGGAGAGCCGCTACAGCTCCCAGACAGCCGGACTACACCCGCGACCCCGATGGAGCGGCGCACAACCACTACCACGACAGCAAGCCAACAGGGGGAAAAGGAGACTGCACAACAGCATGGTTCACCACCGCAGACGGCAAGCCGAGATGGGAAAACCACCGGCGACCATGTGACAAAGGAGAGCAGTGAAGATAGTCCACCTGACTGGGGGAGCGACCCGGACGCCACGGAGGACCCTGTCAACGACGCCGACAACGATGCTGAGGACACGACGGCTCAGCACTGGCCAGGGAGGCCCTGGCTAGCAGAGCGGCACAATGAACCGAGGGGGAGCCACCACGGCGACCGTCAGCAGCCGCTGAAGGTGCAGAACAGAGGGGGGAAGTAGGTCCCGAAATAAATGTGGCTGGCAGTACAAGAGGTGCAAAAACACATGGCACGAGCACGCAGCCGGGGGAGCGAAGAGTGAGCCAGATGCTGAGAGCGACCAATTTGGGGGAGGCAAAAGCCCCCCATGCCATTTCATGAGGAGCTGGTGCCTGTGGCACCACAAGCCGGACAGGCCGCTGAGCCAAAACCACTACCTCCCGGGAACATGCGCCCACCTGTTTGCAGCACACCTGCCGTACCATAGCCATCGCCGTAATGACCGCATGCTCTGCTCCTGGACTTTAGAACACTGAGTTACCACAAGGGGGGACAACTGCACCTGTAGTCGTGGGCTGCACCGTTGTCGTGTACTCTGCTGCTGCTTCACTAAAAAAGGTTCTGACCTCCTGTAGTTACACTGTAGTTCCTACAAGAGAGTGCTCCAGTCGAAGGTACTTAGGATGGGCCATAGAGGGCGTGGGGATGAGGTGGGATACGCGTTAGTGTTCAGGGTCGGGCAAGGTTGGAGATTTAGGGTTTGCATAATCTGATGCTCATGATGCTCTACTGGGGGTAAAACCTTGTAGCTCGCAGCGTCTGCTTGAGCCTTTTTTCAGATGCTTGCACGCAAGATCTACATACTACATCTCGCAACTTCTGCTGGAGCAGGGTCTTACAAGCTTGAGCTTTTGCCAGCTGCCTCCACGCAAGATTGGAGAACACTATCTGCTACATATCGCAACTTCTGCCGGCGCAGGGTCTTATAAGGATTCCCTTCCCGGCAGTTGTGACGCGACAAACACAGATGACTCCAATCCCGAGAGTGACATGGGCCTTGCCAAAAGGCATTGTGGTATTCATGATGTTATGATGGAAGGTGTCTATGAAAATCCATTGTTCATGGTGAAAGTAATGAAGATGCTCCAAGCCCTGAGGTTTCACAGGGAAGATCCGCATGGAAGTGCAAATGTAGAGATAGGCGTATGCTGTAGCCGTGGCCGACACCGTTCGGTCGCATTGGAGTTCTTGCTGCGGTCGATCCTTGGGATATACCGCTGAAACGTGTTGCCTGCAAAATAGTTGGAGTATGATGCTGGGAATTGTGGAAGTCGTCTGCATGAACAATGTAGCTAGAACAATCCATCCGGGTCCGAGTGCGCTTTCTTCTCCCAATCCAGGAAACGCACACTTAACTCACGCAGCCAAGGAGGTGGTCCAAGGGGTTCTGCAGGACGTAGAGGAACAGTAGGTAGCGGAGCTGGAGGACCTGGGTACTTGAAGATTTGTGCCTTTTGCCACTCCATGTGGTGTTTTCCGGGATTTCAGAAGACAGTCTTTTTCGGATTCGAAGTGGAGGGCCTCAAAGAAGTTTTCAAAGGTGGTGGCACAACTATCCCTGTCGTAGGCAAGCTCCTCGTGCTCTTAGACAGTCTTCCGGATATAGGCAAGCTCGAAGAAGCTGTGTTCACAGGTGGTGGCGGTGGTGGCGGCACTATTCCTGTTGAAGACAAGCTCCTAGAGCTCTGAGGGGGCGGCGGTGCCAGTCTCCCGGGCGCACATCCAAGATGTAGTGGTCTGGCAACGCCCTGGTGAGCAACCCTACGGGAAGACGTCCTACAGGTAGAGGAGAGTCCATTGCGCACCAAAAAGACCCTTTAGCAGCAGACGCCCTGCAGCTTGAGCCAAACTGAAATTATATTAAGTATATTAAGTTGCTGGCTTCTTATAACCGCATGGACGTAGAATCATGTAGGGTTTAAGGTATAGGATACTCCGAATATAATATAGCATATAATGTGCATACATGTAGCATGATTCTGCAGCCACGCGGTTAAAGGAAACCGAGATCCGGTGTCGATTTTCTTCGCTCCTGACCATTTGATATCACGTCGGGGGTGCATGTTTACATATGTATACCGTCATGACACAAGGGTCAGGTCATGTCATATTTGTGCATGTACGCATGTTATATGTCTTGTGTATGGTATAACAAAAACGTACGAAGTTCTCATGTAGGTGTGTGTATGTAAAGATGTATACATATGTATAAAATATAGAAAAGCTTGATATGACGGTATTGCTAATGGTATGCTCATGGTGCCCTCGTTACAAAAAACGAATATTATCATATGTATATCCATGTCATCTTCTCTCACATTGTCATAATATGACAATGTGAGAGAAACTGAATAGGATACGATCTTTGTCATAGTATTAACATATATGATATGTTTATCTATCTCATCTTATTCAGTTTCTCTCACATTATCACTTGATAGTGTGAGAGGAAGCTAAATATGATGTGGGTCAATGTAGTGACTGTCAGCTGCAGCTTGGGGTATCAGACATATATTGTCACACAACCAAACCGCCAAGCACAGCAATCCGTTCTCTCATCTTCGCTGCAGCACTGGCCAAGTGACAGAGAAAATGACGTGTTTCATGATCATATAATAATGCAGATATGTAATACATAATATTCGATGTCGAAGCTGATAACCATAATTGTTATATGGTTCCCACCGACTTAAAGCCAGCATTAAACAACTAAGGTTGAATGCGCCAGGCCCGTGGAACCAAGAACCAAGATGCCCACCAGGATTCTTGAATCTTGGATCTTGGTTCCGCAGGCCCGGCTGCATTAAAACCAGCATGAAAAAGTTAAGGCTTGATGCAACCCGGCCCGTGGAACCAAGAACCAAGNNCCAAGATGCCCAGGACTCTTGAATCTTGGACCTTGGTTCCAGGGCCTGGTTGCATTTTAAATGCTGGTTTTAATGCAGCCGGGGCTGCGGAACCAAGATCCACGATTCAAGATTGCTGAACATCTTGGTTCTTGGTTCCACGGGCCTGGCTGTAGTGAATTCTGCTGGACATGATCATGCATACACAGTCCCTGTCGGATTATGTAGCAATGTTCCTATACACTAATCCATGTTATGTTTGCGTGTGTGTGCGTGCGTGTGCGTGTGTGTGTGTGTGTGTGGGTGTGCGTGTGTGTGTGTGCGTGTGTGTGTGTGTGTGCATGTGTACTGTGTACTGACGTGTGGTAGCATATATGTATACAAACACGCTTGGAGGTAGGTTTTGGGGGTACCAAATAAATGGACATATAAATAAATATAGTTATATAAATAAAAAAAAATATATATATATATATATGCTTTCATAGCTTTCATATGTGATTTAGGCGGCTTACCTTGAGCGATCGGGAACGGGTGAAAACTTCCCTACCGAGCCCGTAACCATCGGCCTGGGAAGCCTAAGACGCTTCCCATGCCCGAGAAAGAGAGAGAGGGAGAGAAAGAGCGAGCAAGAGTCGTTTGCCTCGCCTTTCAGGGCGTGCTCGGGAGCGGCCCGTGGGGCCGGAGAGTGCTCTCCAGGCCAGGGGGTGGACGTTTTCCCTGAGCGGGGTTGGCTTGTCGGCGAAGACCTGAATGGTGGCCCAGCAATAATTAGGAATGAAGCAGCATGCCACGACGCAGCGGACCAAGAGGCGATCAACCCGAACCAAGACTTAGACGAGGACCCATCAGAGGAGCACCAGGGCAACTTCCTTGGAAAGTATCGAATGTATCGAGGCCGAAACGCCCAGAGGTTGAGATCCACAATCTCCTTAATGAACACCGGGAGATGAGACGAGCGGCAGGTGAACCACATGGCCACCGATTTTTAACGTACATAGGTGTACCAGCTTGTGCAAGTGCCAGGGGACCCGGCATTCGTGCACAAACCTGCTGCCTTGCGCTCAAATGTAGGAGAGGCGACTTTCACTGATGTTCGCCCTGACTTTAATTTGTGATGAGGGGGCACTCACCAAACTTGCCTTGAACCCTAGAATGGTGTGCCTGCAGCAAGCAAGCGACTTTCGGGGCCGGTAATTAGAGCAGTTTTTTCCTCGCGCACACACTTTGATTGAAGCTGACCTGCCTCCACGGGGGCATTCGAGTCCAGTCTCCCAGTCGGTCCGCGAGACAAACGTACAGCCGAACTCCTCGACCGAAATGGTGGATGGGGGAGCCTTTGCAGCGCAGGTCGAGGGGACTGCCCTCGGCTCTAACCGCAAGCAAGGCAAACAGAAACTTGGGTGAAACCCCTTCACCATAGCCCTGGCGAAAGAAGGAGACGCTTACGGAGACACACTAGAGAAATTGTAGATAAGTTGTTTCTCCTCACGAGCAATACAAGCAATGCCGCCGCGGCAAGGACACGCAGCGACCCTACCCACAGGCAACCTGCAGTCCCTGCCAGCACTCCCTTGGCACCACCGCAGCAAGAGGAGCAAACACAGCCGAGCATCCGAGGCAACTTCAACGATCCTATAGCCTACGTCAGCAAATGGGACTGGACGGTAAATTCTCCGAGAGTTGCCTCATTGCTTTGGCAGTATCCGGGTGCTGATCGGCACCGTTTTGCATCTTCGCCTCTTCCATCTTTGCCTTACAGCTGGAACGCCTGAAAGACATGGTGCATGCGAGACGAAGTCGGGTTGGGAGCTTGCATCGGTGCGGGATGCACATATATACGCAGCTGGCGGAAGCAAGTTGTTGTTGCACAGCTTGGCCCTCGAAAGGACTGGCTGTGCGAGCAGGGCCGCTTTGGCTTGAAGACCCCCGACCCGAAGATCAAGGCAGGGCAGATGGAAACAGGTGGAGGAGGTTCAGGTGCCAAGTCCTGCAGAGGGAGAAGCCACGGCGTCAGAAGCTTCTGTATGCGGTTTGGAGGGAGGTTGTCGCCAGGCCAATGGGCGCGGCGTCTTCATCCACCGTGGTCGCAGCAAGGAGGTGTGGCAGTGGCCCATAGTGGCCCAAAGC